AGCAGTCCTGTTGCTGTCCTACATGTTGGGGGTGATTCTGTATGATGCACAGTGTAGGCAACTCCAGGGAAATGTAGCCACCTCTGGGGCGCAGGACAGCAGCCACAGCATGGCAAGCTGCACAAGGGCTCGTGAGAGGGAATGGTCCATCTCCCCTTGGGCAGCATTTAAGTTCATTCACTTGCTGGAGACTGTAAGTCCTGACCACTTCATGCCTTGCCAGCTGGGGAAGGGGAGGGGAGGGCAGTGGGTCTGGAAACCGCAATCCTGGAAAGAGCCAGGTGCAAGTTTAATGCTCCCTCTGTGCTTCCAGCTCTGCTCAAGGGGTGGAGCTGAGTAACCTGGTGTGTCTCGCCCTGTCACAATGCTCTTTTCTAGGAACCTTAAAAAATTCCGCAAGTGGCAGTGCAAGCAAGTGAGAGCTCTGCGGAGCGAGGCCAAAAGCTCCTGGAAAAGGCTGATTGGGGTGGAGAGTGCGTGCAATGTGGACTGCAGGTTCAAGCTCAACAGTCACAAGATGATGTTTATCGTGAACTCTGAGGACTACATGTACAGGCGGGGTGCACTCTGCCGGGCCAAACAGGTGAGTCCCCTACTATTGTGGTAGCTTGGGTGCTGGCAGTGATGGGGAATTTGAGCCACAAGTGGCAAATGTCTTTGTGCCTGAATCCCTCCAGGCTACACCCTTGAGGTACTGCCCTCTTTGGGCTGAAACACCAAAGGAGGCTGGTAGAGGCCATGTGCCTCAGTTTACTGGCCACAGATTTACCATGCAAACCACACAGGAGGATGATCCATGCAGAAAGCAGGTAGGTGGGATCTGTGCTGTTGGCTGGGGTTATGTATGGCTCAAAAGTCGGGGAGTGGAGAGGCCAGCCTCCTCTCCCAAGACCCTCTCCCTGATCTCTCCTGTCCTTGCCTCAGGCACAGCCAGTGGTTCTGCTCAAGCACCACCAGCAGTTTGACGAGTGGCACAGCAGGTGGCTAGAAGAGAATGTCACTGTGGAGGCAGCAGACCTAGTTCAAGACTGGCTCATGGGTGATGAGGACGAGGACATGGTGCCGTGCAAAACAACTTGTGAGACGATCAGTGTCCACGGGGTCCCAGTGAACAGATACAGGGTGCAGTACAGTCGCCGGCCAGCTTCACCATGACAAAGGACTTGTCCACAAGACCATGCCAAGCAGGAGCTTTGCTGGTGAAACACTAAGTCTGAGAATAGTGGTGGGAATGCAGTGTATGTATTAACGATATTTATCCAAACAGCATTTTACTTTGGGTTATGATGTATTTCCATACGGCATAGAATTGTCTCCTTGCAGCATAATCCTCTGGGCCAGGTCATGAAGAGAGCTGAAACCATGACAGGAAGAGAGCTCTTGGCACTGACATGCCATAGAGCAGATTCCCAGCTTCAGGTCTGCTGTGGATCAGCCACTGCTGGAGAGGCTGAGCGAGATGGCTTTTGGAACAGGTGGACAGACTAGAGGAGACCGGTGGCAACCGCACTAGAGGGATGGAACAAGCGGGGCTGGCTACTGGCAGAGGAGCAGAGAGCTGTAATGCTCCAGCCAGACCAGAGCAGGAGTGACGCTGGAGCAGATGCTGGCAGCTGCTTCCTCTTTGAAAGGTTTGTTCCATGTCTCTCTGGATTTCATTGCAGGCCTGAGCCTGCAGAACTTTTCATTGTAACCCCTCAATGCCAGAGGGTCCAGAGCACAGATGGCCAGCCTCACCAGGGACTGCAGGCACTCCTCACATTATCTGTTTGTACTAATGCAAGCTCTGAACGCAGCGTTTGTATCGACTTCTGGCAGGGAAGTGCCAAACCCCGAGGTAACAAGAGGAGAAGCTAACTTTCAACTCCAAAACAATTACGTTGCTAAAATTCTACAGTGTGAACAAGTGGGAAACGTCTCCACGGGCTGCAAGGTTAAGCAGGGAGCCAGAGCAGGGTGCCCTGGGCACATCCTCTGCAGAGTGCTGTATTGGACCTTGTGCCCGTGCTCTGCAAACTTGTCACACCACTGGATTCTGCCTTCTGAACTCAGGAGTTGTGTGGAGTGGGAGTAACGTCCATGGTGAGGGGTCGTGCATTTTGCGTGCGGAGTGGCAGCCACCAGAACCGCGTCCTGCAGGCTCCTAGCTTTCCCATGCGCATCCAGAACTCCTCCTCACTGCTGCGCTGGTCACACCTGAAGTAGTCAGCAGATGGAGCTCTTGGAGCACAATGTTTGCACTGAGCTTGAGGTTTCTCCGTCGCACATCAGTCTGTGTAAGGTTGTGTCCACGAGGCAGATTGCACCCTGTTCAGCCCCGACTCCGAGTTTCTCAGCTTTTGGAGGAATTGGAACTGCTCACGTGTTTGTTTCTTTGTGGCTTGTTTGGTTTTTTCCCTATGGTTCAGAGCCAGTGGGAGTCTCACTGTTTTTCTCGCTGTCCAGCATTTGGTCCTGCAGTTGTCTCATTGACAGTGGAAAACATGACAAACCTTTTGGATACTTGTGACCTATAACTGTACCAGCTGCACGTCTTTCTTGCAAGATAAGCTGTGCGGGGGACAGCAAGGCTTCAGGCACTGTTGGCCACAAGCACAGCGATTGGCAGCAGAGGGCTTTGCACCAGGAAGCCAAGCGCTCGCTGCCCAGGGTTTCAGTTAACTTCAGTTGCTGAAACGAGCCAAAGGTGGTTTTTTGTTTTTCTGTTTTGTCGTCGTCCCCCGCAAGCTCTTGGCTTGTTTTGGGTAAGGAGCATAAGATAATGAACATGAACCTCTGAGAGCCTGGGGTAGGTCTGACTGATCCAGTGCACAGGATCCCCTATTGCTTCCAGACAGCTCTCCAAATGCACCTCAGTCCTGTCCGACTCTCTGCCGGCTCCCAGCAGAGATGACCAACTGTGCCAAACTTTGTTATTGTTTATGATACAGATGTTTACTAGACGGTAGGTTGCAACTTGTGGCTTAAAACGCATTTGATTCCATGCCTCCCTGGGTGCACGATGCATTCATGCATCCCCCTGCTTGGTCTCCCCAACATTTTTAAGTGTACTTCAGACATTTTTAAGCAATCTTATTTTGTAAACTTTAATTTATAACCTGAATGGATTACGTGAGACTCTGTAATTTACAGCACTCTTGTCTCAAACATGATAGTAACAAATGATGTGAATAAAACACGCAGGCAGTGCAGACGTGTTTGAGAGTGGCTTGCTAATGACTGAGATTTCAGCCTTGAATGCTGTGTATCTGCTAGCATGAAGCTGATTAAAGAGAGTTTGTTCTTCCTTTGACTTTCTTTTTGAAGGATCTTTGCTTTGGGGCTTGTAATTGCTTTGCCAGCTCTCTGAATGTAGGTTTTTTTTATATATTTATTTGCACATTCAAGTAAAATAAAGTATGGAGCTTATAAATCAGCAGCTCTCACAGAGTCCTTTCCTCATAAGTGACATTAGAGCCAGGGAGTGGACCAGAGTGACCGATGCCTAATCCCACGCTGTAGAACAGGCTATGGAGGTGGGTGCAGGACTGGCCATGCCAGCAAGTAGACTGATGACCCTGGTAGTCACCCACTGACTCGCTCTGAGCACTGAGGCAAGAGTCTCTACTCCCTTGATAGTGCCTCAGCCATGCGCCCCGCTTTCTTATCTGAGCTATAAATGCAAGCACTGCAGAGCCCTGGCTACCTCTACAGCACCTGCAAACCACGAAACATTTCACCCTCTCCCTCTTCCATGACATTGGGGAGGTGCTGCTGACACCTGCCTCCCTTGTAACCAGCAGGTCAGTGGCTGTAGTACTCGCCCAAGATGCGAGAGGCACCAGGTTCAGCTCTGCCCTCTGCCTGAAAGGAGCTGAACACGTGTACGCCACCTCCAGCACCTTCGGATTAGCATGAACAAAACCTCACAAGGAATGTCCTTTGGCTTAGCCCAGCAATCGAGGCTTCACAGAGGTCCCTCCAGTTGAAACTTTCACTTGGCTTGGAATAAGTTAAGTAGGCATGGCTCTTTCTCTAGGGCCCGATCTGGCGCACAGGCCTGTGGCACAGGGGTTCAGACACTCCTTTCCAGATGCTCTGCACGAAATCTCTGCTGTAAAAGGGAAATCTGGGAGCGTGGCATAGGCATAGATGCCTACAGCTTTAGGCAGGCATGGAGCAGGGGTTTTGACTGCCTGCGTTCTGGTATGTGCTTACTGTGGCCATGGGGCAGCTAAATCTCTTTGTGCGTCTAAGCCCAAGTGCCTTGTGTGTTTCGGCATCGTTAGCTTACCCCAAAGGCTTGGGAAGTGCTGTGACTTCAGGCCATCCCACCTGGAGTAGCATTTGTTTTCTATGGCTGGTATAAGACACAGATAGCTTTGGTTTGAAATACTTTGGCCAAAATGTTTAATGTGCAGGAAGCATTGGGCTGCTTAAAAATCCTGAACTTTGCACGAATGAACCACTATGAGAAGATTTCTTAGCCAGCGCACTCTATGGGGATACCTATCTCAGTACATGAGCTTGCACAGCTGCAGAACATTGATCCTCACAACTGCCCAACAGCCAGGGAGCATCCTTAGGCTGGCCGCACAAGGCACCTCTTGTAAAGCAGAACTGAACTCGGGTCTGCTGGCAGCCACCCTGATGATGGGACGGTTCTTTCCCTGGCTGGCCACATCTCCTATTGAACACCTGCCGTTGGGGCAAGAGAACCTGTTGGAAACCGCCTTGGTCTGGGCACTTTAATGGGTACAGCTACTGTTCCACCCTCTGGGCCTTCTCCTAGTAGTCTGGAAAGCTGTAACCAGAAGTTACTTGGCTGCTGCGCTGCTAGAAGCTGGATTGTGTAGTATCCACAAGCTATAAAGGGAAACAAAGCACAGCACATAACACAAGAGCCGTCCAGTCAGCTCCAACCCATTCCCTAGTCCCACATTGTGGAGCTTTGATCCTACTGCTCCTGAGCTGCTCTGCACAAGAAGCTCCCCAGAGCATGCCTGCTGGCAGCCTGCATTCTAGTCTAGGCAGCCAACTCTTGCTTTGGCTTTGCCTATACTGGGAAGCAAATGCAAAGCAAGACTGGATGTGAATTTACAATGCAAAGACTACTCTGAAAGTAGTGTACTACCTTGCACTTAGTGGACACAGACTGTCACACATGGCTAGTGCAGCACAGCTTGCTGGTTGCGCTCAACTGCATACATAGCCAGGCAATTGGGCAGGTGAGAGTGAAGGTGCCCCATGTGGGCAAGGAGGTGCTAAAGCAGCTCCATGGAAAAGCAGCTTACCTGAACCTGGTTTAAAAAATGTTCCACTAAGAACTCGCTGCACAAACTGCTTTTGTTGGTTTGCAGCAACACTGGCACAAGCACACGAGGCCCCATTCTGCCCCTTCCACACTCCCAGAGCTCATACACCAAATTAGCTCCTGATAAACTAAATTAAAAAGTCATTCAATAAAGCAACTGACTCCAGTTCCCAAATCATATGCACATCTGCTATACGTTATTTCAGTGCAACTACAATCATGAAAATACCCTTCCACCTCCAACCTCTCGAAATACCTGTGTGATGACATGAGTATCTGTGTTCCCTATGAGCCCTACACAACAAAGGAATGAACATATATTTTTGCAGGTGAAGCTGTAGTGATGTGACCCAGATCTGATAGGAGTTTCCTTTACATCATTCTCAACACTTCAGTTGCCATAACAAAATGCGACTTTTTTTTTTTGGTTTAGCAAATGATTTGCTCACAAGAAACAAGCAGTTGTTCTATTTCTCCTATAAATAACCCTCTGATGCATAAATGGCATGGAATAATTTGACAAAAATGCTGGTGTTGGTGCCTCTGAGGACACAATATGCTTTATACAAAAGCCTCCTCTCAGAAATCTTGGACCTCTTACAAAGAGAATGGCCCTCGGGGCTACAAAGGAGGGAACAGGCCCTCTGAAGGGACAGCCAGATTGTGACATCAGCCAAGCGCAGACTGAAAACTCAGCAGCGAGTAGCTTTAGACATGGCAAAGGAGAACAGTTTAAAAATATCTTGCACGATAGCTGGGCAGAAAAGGAGTGAATTAGTTTCTAAATCAAACTAACAGGAAACACTAACAGGAGTAGCTGTGGTCTGGGTTTCATACCTTCCTTCTTATTTGACACGAACCTGTGGGAAGGACCCAGAACCGCATGCACGAACAAAGTGACTTCTTCCTGTTAGATGCTGTGGGTACAGGTCTCAGTGAGTTCCCCTAAGGAAGCTGGGAAGCTGCTTCACATCCCACTGGGTAAGATGCTACGCTGCCAGTCCAGCCACATGAACACAGCAGCTCCTTTCCTGAGTCAGTGCTGCCAACAGACCTGTCTCTCAGGGAAGGCCTGCCCCATCCACAGGCCTCCTCTGTCCGGAGGACACTGCCCAGCAAAGAACAGCTAGCTACCAGTACTCCCCCACGGCAGCTGGAGCTCAGGCCAGCCGTGCAGAAATGACCTCGCACCATGGGGACATTGTGCTGGAATAGAAACGGAGCAATGACTCTGGAATGCAGCGACCTCACGAGGAGGCATCCCAACATCCACAGCTCAACAGCCGGTCGGCACTAGGGAGGCCAGCTGCTCCCCTTCCTACCTACCCACCCCTGGAAAAGATGCAATAGAGAATTACAGTGTCCAGGAAGTATGGCAGTCAGGTGGGGCCAGGAGGAGCTCCCTGGTGCAGTGGAACAGCAACAAGGCTAGACCCCTGATCCCTGCAATGGCAGCAGCAAGACTGCTGCCTCCTGACTGTAAACAGCCCTTTACGTAACAGCAGAGATGACTGCACAGCACAAGCACTACAGGAAGGGCCAGGGCACATGAATGAGCAGCAAGTGGAGGTTTGACACGTCTTTAAACGTCCAGTTACAGCAGAGAGCAGAGCCCCAGCCCAGCGAGTGCTGCCAAGCACGCAGCGGGCAATGGGCTCTGCCCAAAGCACCGACAGTCGAGAGGCCGAGACAGCAGCTGGAGAAGGCTGCCAAGAAGGCTGGGCGGGGGCAGATGGGATGCTCGTTGTGGCCAGCCAGCAGCAATGGCCCTGCTGGTTGCTGCACTTCCCTGTAAGCAGGTCACAGCCTGGGCCTGTATTTTCCACCGTCCTCTCCCTCCTGCTCCGAGCACATCCCTGCCTGAATACTCTGCCCAAAGCAGCTAGGCACATCCTCTGTTCACAACAAGTACCAGCAGTCCTCATGGTCCCACTGCCATAGCAACAGCTTTCCACCCTCTCATCTAAGGACAGTCTGCATAAACCACTATCGATCCAGCAGCCCCCTCTCTCCTGGCCTGGCTGCCTGCAATGGAGCCAGGGGTGTTGTTCTGTGCTCTCTGGTTCTTAAACACTGAGGAAAAATGCAATGCACCACAGTCATTTTACAGCGATGCAAATGGCCCAGTGCACTGAGGGGGCTGGGCCAGGTGGGGCCCAAACACGAGGATGGTGCTCCCATCAAGGTCTGCTCTGATCCCTCAGCACTTTTGCCGTGCACCACCTCTGGCCCAGCTGCCAGCCAGAGCCCCCGCAAAGGCTGGGGTCTGAGGCCAGACTACAAAGAGTGCATGCACATGCTTCAAGGGCAACACTGCCACCCACAAAGAGGTGGCAGCTGTCTGCCTGTCCTGTCCCAGGGGCTTCTTGCAGAAGTAAGACTGGAGCTGGGGTGTGGAGGAGGCCAACAAAGGTGTTCAAAGGCTGGTGGGGGGCAAATGGGAATCTGGGTGCGTGTGGAGGGAATGGGGGAGGCAGGAAGGTTTAACTGAGGCTGGAGAGGAAGCTGAATCCAAGACGCTGGTTGCTGCTTGCGGCTCTCCCCTCCTGTGGAAGGAAGAGGGAGGGGACCAGCGACTGCAGCTGAGCTTTGGCCCCAGGGCAGGGGGTTGGGCCAGCAAGCACCCAGGCTGCGATCCCTCTTCTGGGGCAGGGCTGAGGCACTTGCGGGAGGCTCTTGGTAAAGGGCCGTCATTTCTATCCGCGACAGTGGTTAGCCACAGCTGCCTGTGCCCTGCAGTCCTGAGTGGGACAAGACTGCGTGTTCGGCGGGTGGGGGTGCCCAGGCCAGGGCTACACTCATGGAAAATGTGAGGTTCTGCTGACAGTGGCAGACACACTCCATGGCATTGGCCACAAAGCTGTTCGACTGCCTCTCCTGTCTGCGCTGCGTGTGCGGGCAGGGGCCAGGGCAGGATTGGAGGCTCTCGGATCAGTGGCACTACCTTAACACCTCACAACCTGCAGCCAAAAGCGCCCGAGCCCCTGAAGTTGGGCCTGTTGGTCTAAGGCACAACTTTCTGCCTTCTCTTTCCAGCATTAGGTCTTCCAGGCCCTCAAAGTCCAGGGTTTACATTCTTCTTCAATGCCTTTAAAACCCGTTGTCTGCTTTCCCCTGCACCCCGAGGGCTGAGACCTGTGGGGAAGAGCCATCTTTGTACCTGGAGAAGATCAGCTGAGCAAGGAACAGCTTTCAAATCATTCCTGTCATCCCACAGGCAGGGATCACAGGATTGTCACTGCTCATTAGCATCTCTGGAAACCTCTGGCACCAGGCTTTTCAGACAAGCTGTTCTGCATCTAAAGCAGTCAGTAAAGATCACACAGCATCTGAAAAAGAAAGGATGCGGCAATGACTGACCTCTCCCTACTCCACCCCAGAGACCTGGCCATAGGCACCCGGGTTGTGATTTGCACACTATCTGAACCTGATTATGTCTAATGCTTTGCATGCAGAGCACAGAAAGGATCCTGGTTGAGGCATGGAAAATATGCGGCCACATGAGTCATTCTGTAATGGTTCATAAACCCCGAAAGAATCGCAAAAGCAAAACATCCAATACGGCATCGTCCCTGCCCACTGGAGCTCCACCTCTGGACGCGCTCGGCACAAGGATGTGGGAATATGGCAACAGCAAAGGAAATAGGATCATTTTCTCCTTGGAATAAAGGAATCTCATCAAACAGCTGCCAGGCTCAGACTTGCAGCCTTCACAGAAGAGGCCATTCATAAGCAAAGCAGAAAGAAATGAGTTCCCAACCAGCTGCCAAACCAAATTCACAGTTCCTGCTGGCCACACGGCAGCTCCTGTGCTTACTCCCTCCATGGAAGGCAGGCCCAGGTGTGCAAACACCTAGCACCCTCCCTCACTGCCTCTAAGGCAGCATCCCCTTTCCCCAGGCTGTCCCCGCAGCCCCTCATCTCCCTGGCTTGCCTGTCTCCCGCAAGGGGAAAAGCAATTCAGAGCCTTTTCTGTTGCTCTGCAGCATGCTGCACCCATTCTGCACATATCCAAGGAGTGCAGGATGGTGCTGGGGAGACCCCTGGGACTTGGCAGAGACTGCTGGGGCGTTAAAGAGCCCAAGATCCCAACAGGAGAGGAGACAAAGGCTCGGGGAATTCCTGAAGGATGGTGACACAGTCTCATGACCCGGGGGGCCTCATACCATTGTATGTGGGGTGACATGATCAAGGAGCCCCCACACACCACAGCCAAGGGCCCCTCGTCAGCGGGAAGGAGCCTCTCTGCGGCTCCGGAAGCCGTGGGGCCAGAGAGCTCCTTGCATGGCGCGTCTCTGAACTCAGCCTTATCTGCTTGGCTGCAGATGTGTCCTGTGCGTCCCTCTGCAACGCTGCATCCTGCCTGCCGGGGCCCCGCTCACACGAGACCTTCGCCAAGCCCCCAGATCACGCCGCCTGTCTGCTTCCATTCCCCTGTCCTTCAGGCCAGGGCTGGTGCACTTCAAATCAAAACCACCTGCCAGGCTCTTCCACGACCAAGCCTCCCTCCCACATGTCTGTGCCACACCCAGGGCCCACCTCCTTTCCTTTTTGTGTCCTTGTGACAAGGTATTTAGCATAATTCACAGCTTCGTTCACAGAATGTGACCGGTCACCCCGTGAGCACTTCTGCTATGGCCTCGAACTTGCAACCTCTGGGCTGTGCCGTGGCACCCGTGCCACCTCAGCCCCCAGGGCACAGGGAGCTCACTGAACCCAGGGAGGAGGGGTCCCAGGGCTGGTACACAGCTGCTTGGATCGTCCCCCAGCCTCTCAGGGAATAGTCAGAGGAGGCACTGCCAGGCGGCTGCCAGAGGCTGTGGGGACGCCAGAACCAGGTGGATGTAAACCAAGGACACACAGAGGCCCTGTGCCCTGACACTGTCCTGCTAAGGCCTCAGCTTTCACCCTGTCCCCACTTCTCCTTAGTGGGGAGGTCTCAGCTTCTAACCAGGTTCCCCTTCCCTCTCCCTTCCTGGAAGGTGATAAACACCAGGATAAGACAGCACGAGGCTTAGCTCGGCTGCCAAAAATATAACGAGCTGGGAGTTTCAAGGCCCTTGCGGATCAGACTGGGAGGAGGATGGTTTAAGTGACATCTTCCAGGCAGATAGGGGCATTTGAAGGGGAGTTCACCAATAAGGGGCAGTTTCTTGGTACCCGTACCGAAGGAGTGAAGTAGGGTGCACCTGCACGGTATCTGTGGTGACTGGGGACGGGGGTCGTACGGAGTCGTCAGAATCCGGAGAGTTTCTGCAGCTAGTCAGTGTGTAACGAAGGTCTAAAAGATGGAGCTGTTCTCCCCCTCTGCCAGCCGGTCTGATCAGGCAGCAACAGTGACTGAAGGCTCTAGTTACTGAGCTTCAAGAAACAACACGGTGAGTGGAAGTACTGGGTGCCAGCTCCATCTTTTAGACCTTCGTTACACACTGACTAGCTGCAGAAACTCTCCGGATTCTGACGACTCCGTACGACCCCCGTCCCCAGTCACCACAGATACCGTGCAGGTGCACCCTACTTCACTCCTTCGGTACGGGTACCAAGAAACTGCCCCTTATTGGTGAACTCCCCTTCAAATGCCCCTATCTGCCTGGAAGATGTCACTTAAACCATCCTCCTCCCAGTCTGATCCGCAAGGGCCTTGAAACTCCCAGCTCGTTATATTTTTGGCAGCCGAGCTAAGCCTCGTGCTGTCTTATCCTGGTGTTTATCACCTTCCAGGAAGGGCCCTATGCCTTCAGGGACCCACAGCTGAGCAGGGGCAGACCTGGCCTGGCTGAGAAGGAACACGCCCACAGCCCTAAACACCCCTGCTTTCTCCTCTGCAGCAAAGGTCTGGTGCTTCCGCCTGCCCACAGCTCTAAATATCCCCCGCTTTCTCCTCAACAGGAAAGGTCTGGTGTTTCCACAAGTTAAGGGCTGGGTGGCAGGAAGTGTGTAAGCAAGGCTATTAATACTGCACTTCCCATGCAGCACAGCAGCACATCGCGGCCCCCTTCGCAGCGTGGGGATGTGCAGGCACAGAAGGATGTCACATCAGCTGCTGCTGTGGTGCAGCCTCTGGGCACTCTGCTCGGCGGGTCCGGACTACGATGGTGAGTGAACAAACGGCCTCGGGTGACATCCTCCTACTCATTTGAGGGCTGGACATTATGCTCCCGTACGAAGACTCCCAACAAAACTCCAAGAAAGCCCTGATGCAGAAGCAAAGCACAGCGGTGCCAAAGGGCAAATGCCAATCAGTTCTGCACTCCTACCTTCCCAGTCCATCCTGATCCCCTCTGCTGTGCTCACTCTGCCCTGCACTGCTCTTCAGACAGCTGCAGGCCAAGTGCTGCAGCAAGGGGTGCAAAAGGGGCCCAGGGGCCATTCCACTGCACAGAGGGGAGCGACAGGGAGGAGGGGACTAAGCCAAGCCTGAGCAGCTGGGCTCCTTCTGCCCCTTCATCCCCATACCCCTCTCCCATGAGAGCTGCATCAGGCTGCGTGTGCCGGGCAACGAGACTTTCCTCCTGCAGCATCCCTGATGGGCTGCTCTGCCTAGGTGGGTGAGTAGGAAGGTTGGCCCTTGAGAGGGTTCCCCAAGTCAGGCAGCGATTTGCCAGAGGCCAGAGCAGCACTAGCCAGAGCCAAGCCCTCTGGAGATTGCCAGAGCTGGCAGCTTCATGTCAGCCTCAGCCCCAGAAGCTCCCAGATGCAGAGGAAGCTGCTCTGACTCCACAACAGGAGAAGGGGAGGGAGGGATCCTGAGCACAGACCAGATCACCATGGTCAGATACACCCCCTACCTTTGCCAAAGGAGCCAGCAACACAGCCCAGGCCTGGAACTGGCTTTCCCTAGTGAGGCCTTGTTGGCCTGCTCCCTTTGTGCTGCCCTGTGCCCTGGGGTGCTCAGTCCCTAGCAGCCAGCAGCAGACATACCGCGAGCTGTGAGAAACAGCGCATCACTCCAAGGCGTTGCATGCGGTTCTACGGGCTCATGACAACAGTTGATCATGAATAACTGGGGCCCAGACAGAAAGTACGGGCGCTGCCTGGGGACGAAGCACAGATTTTTTTCAGCACTAAGCAGCCCGAGTGTCTGTGGTTTCCCTTGCTTCTCCTCTTCATTTAAATTGTGCATCAGGGATATTTCCTGCTCATGGCAGGTCACAGGGCAGCAAAGGACCATGCTACCCTGAACACCACTGTACCCTGGGCTCCCCTCCATGCTGACAGCAGGTTTTTGGGGTAAAGTATCTTAGAAAACAGTAAACTGCCTCTCAGGCCCAGCCCTGATGCAGGGAGGCCTTTGAGCTGGAGTTTGTGTTAAGTGACTCTAGCTGGGACCAGACCACGCCTCTGCAGGATTTGCTCTGGGGAATAGCCCTGCCACCCTCTGGCTCCTGCACCCTGGGTGGGCATGGTGTCTTGTCTGAACGCACACCCTTTGGGGCAGGGACCCTGTCCCCAGATGCATTTGCATAGAGCCAGTTGTTCTGAGCCCAGCACAAATTCTCAGTAACAGCCTCTGCTTGTGTTGCCAGATTACTCTCAGAACAGCACCGACGAGCAGAGGACGATGTCTCAAAACACTCTGTGTCCCCGAGCCATCCCAGGAGAGAAGGTGACTAGTGACAACACCACCTACCTGGACATCCATGAGGCTGCCCGCTCCCAGCTGAGCAGCCCGGTCACAGTGTGGCTCCTCCCCTCTCTCTACACTGTCGTCTTCCTGGTGGGGCTGCCGGCCAACGGGCTGGCCCTCTGGGTCCTGGCCACAAGGATCGAGAAGCTGACTTCCACCATCTTCCTGATGAACCTGGCAGCAGCTGACCTGCTGCTGGTGCTGGTGCTGCCCTTTAAGATCTCTTATTACTTCCTGGGGAGCCACTGGCCCTTTGGTGAAGGCCTGTGCCGGCTCACCACAGCCTTCTTCTATGGGAACATGTACTGCTCTGTGCTGCTGCTCACGTGTGTCAGTGTGGACCGTTACCTGGGTGTGGTGCATCCCTTCTTCTCCCGCTCCTTCCGCAGCCCAGGCTTCGCTGCGTGCACCTGTGCTGCTGTCTGGGTTTGCGCTGCCATCTTCACCCTGCCCTTGACCCTCCTGAAGCAGTCGTATCCCTTGTATAGGACAAACATCATCCTGTGCCACGATGCCCTCCCCAGGCATGAGGAGACCGAGTACTATTTCTACTACTTTGTCTGCTTGATTGCATGTGGTTTCCTGGTCCCGCTGGCAGTCATGCTGTTCAGCTATGGCTCTGTGTTGTGGGCCCTGCTGGGCAGTGGAGAGCGGTACCTGCATGCCATGAAGCTCACCGCCCTCGTGCTGCTCACTCTCGTGGTGTTCTACACCCCCAGCAACATCCTCCTCCTCATCCACTATTCCCAGAGCTGCTCCGTGCTCCACGGGCACCTGTACATCAGCTACATGCTGAGCTTGGCCCTCAGTGCCTGCAACAGCTGCATTGACCCCTTTATCTACTACTACGTCTCTGAGGAGTTCAGGGACAAGGTGAAGAGCAGACTCTTCGGCTGCAGCAAGCAAACCATCACCTCTCTAAAAACCTCCAAGGAGACGCTCCCTCAGCAGAGCTCCCACTCGCAGTCTGTGGTGTGAGGCCCCGGCCCCTGCTCCTCTCCCTCCCAGGTGCTGGCTGGCCTCACACTATACAGTTCCCAGGTTGGGGCCAGGCTGGCAGCTAGTCCAGGGCAGGGAGGAGAGGGAGGGGGGTTTCTCTGGGCCTTAGGCACTCCTGCAGGGCTCAAAGCACAAACAAGGTGGAGTCAGCTGTATGCAGACAGGAACAAAACATGGCTTCTCCTTCAGCCACTCTCACTGCTATCACTGCATCCCTCAGGCACTCCACACCCTGGTTCCCAGCTGCCATCTGAATCCCTTAGTGAGTGAAGAGGTTTGTGCCATGCTTGTCCATCCTGCTGTTGCCGGCATGGCTACCATGCTGATTTCTTTTGTTAACGAGGACAGGCTGTTGGCTGCCGCTCCAGACTGAGGCCATTAGATGCTTCTCCCCTAGTTCATCCCCTCAACCTTGGGTGGCCCTGACAGGAGCTAGGAGCTTCCACTCCCCTCTGCCCTAGACAGTCTCAGGGTTACTTGAACACTCAAGACATCCTACTAATCAAGGTCCCTGGTGGACCTTCCTTCTACCTCAAGGCCCGATGGAGGATGTTGCACTTTCGGCATGTATAATGGCAGTGGCTCAGGGAGGAAAGGGAAAAGAGTCGGGGGTGGGAAAGGCTGGCTAAGTATTAAAAGCTGTCCAGGGAAACCAGCTGAACCACCCGGTTGCCACCCTGACACTGACCAGAGCCACTGGTCTGGTAGGTAGTTTGTTCGCATGCATCTTGCATCCGCACATGACCAGGCAAAACTGAGAGGCTCCTTCCCTGCAAACCCCCTTCACGGATGTGCCAGGACTCCAGGTCCAGTGAAAGTAATTTTATCCCAGGGGTGCAGAGAATGCATCTGGCCTCAGTGACTGCTATGAAGTGAGACGATATCCTCCTGCATCCTACTCCTGCCTCTGCTACTCACTAGCTTGCCACCCTGAAACAAGGAAGTCCATCTCTGCCCCTCTGCACTGGGGAGGATGGATACTCACAAAGTGAAATTCGAGAACATTTGCAAAGCACTGAGAGCTCTCTTTGAAAGTGCTTGCTCATGCTAAGTGCTCTGCTAGAAGGAGGTGACATGTCACCTTCTCTAACAAGCAAGGTCTTTCTTGACTGGTGATTAACAGAGCATGCCGGTGATTAACAGTCATCAGCCCCTTGTTGGGAAGAACATTCACCACTTGTACAGGCTGCTCTGGCTTTTGACACTTGTGAGTCCTCTGAATAGTACTGCCTCTCTCTACTGGTTATGAAGACAGCCTGGCTTTAGTCCAGGAAAAAGGATTTCCATGTCTCTTGAAGGCAGGGTATTAATAAAATACTGGAAACTCCCACACTGGAATTCCATGCTCCTTTTACAAGCTCCACAGAGAACCAAGAGCTTCCCCACCCCCAACTCTGCTCCCCACAAACCGCTGACCATACCTGCAGCTGGATTCAGGGAATGTACTGCAAAAGCAGACATGTTACAGTCAGCACACCCCTCAAAGCAAAACAAAAGGAACCTCCCAGCAAACTGCCCATTTCTACCTCATCGTAAGTCAGAACTCCTTAGAACTGCTGAGTGCTTTGGTTCTGCAGGTACATGCATCACTTCTGTCCTTTCAGTGCTGTGCAATAGCTGGTAGTTAAGAAGCTGCAGCTCTGCAACATGCTTGCCCTGTAGTATGGAGGCAGATGTTAGTAAGGAGGAGAAGAAGGCAGAATTGTTTTAGAAATCAGTTTTTAATAAAATATTCATCAGTACCTAAAACAAATGTTTTTCTGGATTCAGACTCACTAAGATTTGTGTGAACAAAACAATGTAACAATGCTGGTGGATTTTGTTTTCCTTTGTTATTAAAAATTTTCCCAGTGAAAAACCAGTGCCTGTCTCCTATGGGTGCAATACTGCAAGCGCTGAGAATATGCCAGCCGCTGAATGCAGAAGAGACATGGCAGAGTTAGGCTGAGAGCCAGGGCTTTTGTCCCATGGTCAAAAGCAGCAAATGGGACAAACCAGAACTGAGCAGAAGGTTTAAATCAACAGAGATGTGCGTCTGAACAGATGACTTCTGCACAATCATGAGATCCAGGGTATCATGTATGAACCAGCCAATGGCCGCAAAGCAAGCACTGCGGCTTTCAACTTCACCCTTTAAGTTAGCTGAGTCTGTCATCTACTGACGATAATGCAGAAGAGGGGCCAGGACCAAAACATTTGGACAACAAAGGACGAAGAACTATTGCTTCAAAATAAATACCACGGTAATGATTACTCCAGATAATATCCATGTACAGTTACAAATATAAATACAAATTTCATTGGAGGGATTACAAGCAACAATCACTGGTAACTAGAGAGAGCTATCAAGTCTAGTTAGTAAAGTAACTTGTTATAAACAGAAGCTCCTGTATCTCTCAAGCCCACTGGTGTTTCTCTCCCCTTTGCAATGAGTGACCATCAGAGAGGGGATAGGCGAAGACCATCTCTAGGAAAGTAAGACAAATGTTTCCAAACTGGAAACAACCCAAAGCCCAAGGTAAACCCGACAGCAGAGCTGTCCCTGCCACCACCCTGGGAGAAAAGACGACTCTATCTCCCTAAAACAAGCATTCTGAAGTTGATCCTCCCGAAGTAGGAGCCCTTGGATTGCAGTGCTTTGACCTCAGACCCCTTGCAGGGACTCTGATGAGCTCCAGAGTCAGAACTGGGTAGAAGTCTACAAACAGCCTAGAATAGGAAGGCACCACTCAAGGCTCCCAGAGGAAATGTTCTGAGATCAAGGATTGGCAATGTATGGCCCGGGGGCCAGATCCAGCCTGCAAAGTGCCTGGATAGGGCCTGCAGCATAACTGGAGACCTGAGCGCTCTGGGCGGCAGTGGCACAAGGGACAGTGTCAGCTGCTGGGCTGGCAGCCAGCTGATGCATTTTTGTTTCCCCACTTCCCTGGCCAATTGCGTGGGGCTCTTGTCCTGGTCTCCCCCCTTGGATATACTACTGGATGCAGCCTGCGGCACCAGGGGGGCAACTCAGTCGAACACATCTCCCCTTTGTCCCACACAGTGTCATGATCCCCTCCTCCCACCCCACAGTGCCCATTTTTGCCACTTCCCTTGCCCTCTACCGCATGTGCTGCTCATTGTTGCTGCCAAGTTCCTGTTCCCCAGTGCCACTGGGGACAGGAGTCAGTGGCACGTGGCTGACATGGGGCTGCAGCAGCCTGTGGCAGCAGTCAGGTCACATACAGCAGCCCATCCCTAAAAGACGGCTGACCTGCCCTGGATGGCTTGCACACCAGAACCAGGTCTCTGGAAAGCGGAGGGAGGCCAAAAGCTTAATTTTCCTTTAAGGGACCTAGTGCTGATGACAGCCAGAGGAACAAGCAGCGCCGTGAAGGGAGAGAGTGGCCGCACAGGACAGCTGGGACTGCACTGGGGCACATACAGACTGCACTGCTGCAGTAACTCCAGGCAGTACCTCAAGGGCTCTAGAGGCTTCCTGCTCCACCTTGCACTGATGGGGAATGGGCAGCCGCAACACTAACTGCAGGCTCCTGCCCTCAATTCTTGAACCAAACAGTTTGTTGTTTAGCTCCAGACAGAAGCTGGCTTGCACGGGCTGCAGAGGCTGCCAGCCTGTCCCCAGGAGAAAAGGAAGCTTTGCCTTGGGACAGGGCAGCAGCTGGGCAGCACTGACTGGTCTGGAAGTGCTTGACATGGGAGAGGTCACTCAAGGGTCTCCCCTGGCCTAGGCAGGTACCTGGCAGGTGCCTGGCCCAGGGACAGCGACCTCCAGGACAGCTCCTCAAATGCAGGAGGCAGCACTGGCTGGTGGTTGGAACCAAGAACTGGTAGGCAAGAGACCCTAGTGCTAATCCCAAAGCTACAACAGGCTGATGGGGAGTTTCAGCCTCTCTATGCTTGTTCTTCTCATGGCAAACAGGAAATAGCACTTCCCTTCCTGCCTCAGGCTGGCACACGTGTTGGCCAGACTGAACCCCACATGTGGAGGCTGCTCGTGATAGGCTACGTATTAGTAGGCACTGCCAGAAGAACTTGTCCTCTCCCTGGGGAGGCACTGGGCAGGCTTCTGCATCTTAAACAAATATTTTACATTTAACAGGGTCCCACAGAAGTCATGTGGGCCCTGTCCACACAGGGGATTCTTCCCTCTCCACTCTCTTGTGCAGAGGCAATGATGGCTTGAATAGTGCAGGGCAAGGTGTCCACCAGGAGGAGCATGTCCTGGCAGTGGCAACTTTCTACAAGGGAGACAGGGAGGGAAGGGGACTCTGGGATGAGGGCTCCCATCCGCAAGGGTCCAAGTAGCCCCAGCTCAGGGACATGGAACAGAGCGCCCATCTCTAATGACAATGAGAGGCCAAGATAATGAGGAGACTCTTTGCATCTCCCTCTACCAGACTTCAAGCACTAAATACTGCTGAAGGTGGTGCCAGGAAACAGCACAGCTTACACTGTGCAGCTTGATGGGTTTTTTTTAAAAAGGCTGCCTCTTACTGCAGCTTGCCCCCAGCCTGTCGTTAAACTAGGAGATAAATATTGATGCAGGCTGCTGTGTGTATATACTAGTAAGGGCCTGCCAGGCCAGTTGCTTTCAGAGACTGAATTTAGTTTAAAGACATTTATTTACCTGCTAGGCAGGGATGCAGC